TTATTCCACCATTTATTTACTCACAGTTCATCCCCCAAAGACATTTTCAAAAATTCACGCCGATCTTTAGGGTTTAAACTACAGCCAAGCTAAAACTGAAAATATGTTTTCGCCCAAGTTCTGAACATACAGATTCTGATCCTGATTTACACATGGACACAAAAGGTCAGCCACGTTTGGCCAAGACACTCCCACTCCCTAAACTCTCTGAAGGATTTAGTCTCTCACTTTGGCAGCCAAAGATATCAAAATGGACTTTCTTGCTAGATAAAAGTTTGGGGGACCCTAAAAAGCTGGAACCAGAATCAGACAAAATGAAGGCTTTACTACACCACCTGCAAATTTTAGCAGACAGATGCTGAAATGACATTTGTGCAGAGTTGGCCACAAGACATCATGTGGCCCACAGAAATGTCGGGAACTGGCATGCTGTCTGACCCTGGCAGTAGTCCTGCCCCCCGACCTCTGAGCACATACAGGCTCCCTTCTTGCTCTCTCACTATACTGCCTTCCCTGCTCTTCTTTTTCTCCAAAGCAGAGGCTTACGGAATCCAAAAGACCTGGATGCCATTCAATCCTCATGACATATTAGCTATGTGAACTTGAAGAAGGGATTAACCTGAGTTTCATTCTCCTTACCTGCAAAAACGGAGATAAAACAAAACAAAAAACTTCTCTGGTGCAGTTGACAGGAATGAAAACATTAAGCCCACTGCCAGAGTGACACAGAGCCAGGCAGAGCCATACAGAGCATGTCACAGCACCGTGCTTCATGCTAACAGGAGCCAGCAGTGGTTCTCACCTTTGCTGCACAGTGGAATTGACTGGGGAACTTCAAAAGTACTGAAGCCGGGACAACACCCCCAGAGAGTCTCATATAATTGGCTGGGGATGCTGAAGCATCAAAAATATTTAAAGTTGGGGTGCCTGGCTGGCTTAGTCAGTAGAGTGTGTGACTCTTGATCTTGGAGTTGGGAGTTCAAGCCCCACATTGGGTGGAGAGATTACTTAAAAATAAAATCTTTAAAAAAAATATTTAAAGCTCTCCAGATGATTCTAAGGTGCAGCCAAGGTTGAGAACTACTGCTTCCTGCAGATGCTTTTACATAAGCCACGTAACTACCCTATGAGTTTAGTGCAATTATCCATCCTCCCCTCATTTTTACACACAAGGAAATTGAGGTTTAGAAAGGTTAGAAGATTACTCAAGTGTACTACAGTATTAAGGGGCAAAGCTGAGAGCTGAATTCACACAGTATGACTTCTAAGACCTTACCGCCATCAGCACACTGCTGTGCTACCACCCCACCTACTGAATGTGGAGAACCTTCCAGCATGGCTTTGAGCGTACAGAAGATACTCCACAATTGGTAGCTAATTTGTTCTTTGCTTTTTAGCTTTCCTCCTCTTCATTCTCTGCTCTTCCCAATCGCCACCTGAAATATTGCTTGCAGTTGATGAAGAGTGAGGGATGGATGCGAACGACTTAGAAGCATAGTCCAGAAGGATCTAGGAAAAAACTATTTTTTCCTTCTCCTCCCCTTCCTAAAACTAGGCCATGAGCACACACTTACTTTCTGTTTAAAATGTTTTGAGATAATTATTACAGATACTATACTGGAAGTATCAGAGCTCGAGCCCTGCGTCGGGCTCTGTGCTGACAGCTTGGAGCCTGGAGCCTGCTTAGGATTCTGTGTCTCCTTCTCTCTCTGCCTCTCTCCCACTTGTGCTCTGTCTCTCTGTATCAAAAATAAATTAAAAAAAAAAAAAGTGTTCCTCTACCAAAAAAAAAAAAAAAATCGGAAACCTAAAAGAAAGTTTTTCCATCACCCCTTCTCAAGTCTAAGTCAATGTTTCATTTGCTTATGTTAATGTCTAGGCCTTGTCCATGAGGATATATGGTTTTTACAATTACAAAATCATAATTATATATTCAGATTTGTCTGTTCACATTATGCCATGTATACTTTTCCAAATTTGTTTTATAAGCCAATTAAGTCTCCTAATACAGCTCTGCAGATAATGAAGATAATTTCCTACATAAGTAGGCCTAAGATATTTTCATTAAAGTGTCCCTCCTACTTGGGGCGACTGGGTGGCTCCTAAGCATCGACCGTCAGGTCATTGTTCGCCCAGTTTGTGAGTTCGAGCCCCACGTCGGGCTCTGTGCTGACAGCTCAGAGCCTGGAGCCTGCCGATTCTGTGTCTCTTCTCTCTCTCTCTGCCCTCCCCACTTGGCCTTTCTAATGTCTATCTATAATTTTTTAAAAAAGTGTTCCTCCTACCAAAAAAAAAAAAAATTAGCCTTAGTACTGTGAAAACTGATATAAAAGTTTGTAACCATATAAAAGTCACAGGACATGACATTTGCCTTCCTTTATTTGCTATGCGTGGCTCAGTGCCCACATACCTTGCCCCCATCCCTGGAACCAAAGTAAGTGCTCAAAAAATACACAATGCATGAACAAATGATACTTTTCCTGGCTGAACAGTAAATGTGTGAAATCAGACTTCTTAGGAGACTCCAAAGTGAAGCCTGAAAACTGAGCAGAGTGAACAAGAGCAAAGCGAGCAGGAAAACAGCCGGAAACCCATGGTAAAGGCCAGCTACATTAGCCAGGAGGAAACATGTGGTTTCCTGAATTGCACCCGTGCAAGGCCATCAACCTTTGAGGCATGACATGTAAACACTGTCAAGGATCTTCAGCTCTCTCTTCAGTCACTCTTTGGAGTTCTTTGTAAAAGCTGCTTACACTTTTGGGCTCTTTTCTCCCTGTGCACTAATCTTGGAAGGAGCACAGAGGTGGAGGCAGCTGCAACAGAAGAATAAGGCTTCAAAGAACTGGAGTAGGTATGCTTCAGAGAACCCCCTGGTCAATGTCCTTAGAGGAGGGTTCTTAAGCTAGGCCTCCTCTGGGCACCACCGTGGGATTTCAGGAAACTGGTAACATGTGCAATTAGTGTAAATTGTGAGTGTGTGTGTTTGTGTGTATGTGTGTCTGTCTGGCTTTCTGTCTGGAAAGGAGACTTCAGATGTCATCAGATTTTGCTCTTGGTTTTAGAGCATGCTCCTTCTTCTCCACGTCATCAACTCAAGTGAGACTCTTCTAAACCCATCACTCTTCATCAAGAGCTGGAGGTGGGGATGAATGGGAGAAGGTGGAAGCTAGGGAACTCACCCTGTGGAAGGCCTTCTATTAAATGAGTCAACAGATGAGAACAGATTCAAGAGTGCCTAACATGTATAAGGTCCCATAAATGTTGTTATTATTACTCTCTGCCAAACACTTTGGGCTTTTGCAACTTCACAACCACCCTAGAGGGCAGCATAAATCCCATATTCTATTTACAAGGAGATTTACTTAGGGTGATAGAGTAAACTAACCCAGTGCCACAGCTATCCAATTCCAAAACTATCCAATTCCAAAGCATGGACTTTTCATCTCCACCCCACAGCCTGAATTACCGGCCACACTTTCAGTCTCGGGGTGACCTCTCCAGCCACCCTTAAGGCTTTCACATTGAAAGCTCGAGAGTCTTGCTCTTTCCCTGAGTCCAGCATCAAAACAGGCACTGAGCCTAAGAATGAGCTTCTTTAAGCCAAGCCATAATCTCTACTTGCTTGCATAATATGGTCCCAGTAATCCTACTCAAATTCCACACTCAAAGCCAGTTGTTCACCCAGTTTATCAAGGGCTACATAAGAAAGAAATCACATGTATCACAATGAATTCCCTTGCCTCTACTGATACAGCCAAGTCAAAGGCCAGAAGGGAAATGTTTTCTGGTAGTCACAAACCAGAGTGAGAAAGCTCTAAACAAAGCCTACTGGTTCCTGGTTTCAAAACCCAGGCTAAAAACTGCAGTTAAATATCAGCTACTAAAACAGCCTTCCCCAAGCAGGTGAAAATCCTGACAACTGCATTGCACTGATCACTACCTAGGTGTCTGCACTTTACAGATGTTGTCCCTGTGCCTCAAAAGAGCCAAGCATGCTGGCAAGGTGTTACTTCTAGAGAAGTTAAGCTAAGGCTCTCAGGGTCACAAAGGCAGTGAGTAGCAGAATCAGTACTCAAACTCAGGTCTGTATGAGAACAGCATCATTGGTTTTAACCATACTCCTCCTACCGTCTACACAACCACTGTGAGTCATGGTACCCAGGGCCAGCATCTCTTCTTGTTTTTTTCTGGATCTACTTCCCTGATATCTCGCAGACCTCTCAAGAGGAGAAGGCAATGAAGCAAGACCGATGGATGGACTCTATAAATAGAAGATCTGCGTTTCAGGTCCAGTTCTGCCATTTCCTGGCTCTGTAACCTTGGATAGAGAGCACTTAACCATCCAAGGTCTCAGTTTCCTCACCAGTGCAGTGAAGATCACTGTTCACATTGCACAGACCTGGAAAACAATGCGAGCTAAGGCTTAAGTAGTATGCAAATGTAAGTTACCCTTACTCCTACTTAACCCACTAATTCAACAACTAGTAGTAGCCCTTTCTCAGCCTCCCCTCCACGCTCATCTCAGAGTTCGTCTTGGGCACCACCAGAGTCCCGCCACCATCTCCTCCTCACGCTCCTCGCCCCTCTCCTCCCTTTTGGCTGTTACTTAATCTCCCTCCACTTCAGCAGCTCTCTCGCCTCGTCGGAAAGACCGGCCTTGGACGCTGGGACTTCTTTCTTTCCAACTCTGGGCACGAAGGGCATATCTCTCCTCAGGACGTCAGGGCAGCCACCTCTGCGCGGCTGCTGCGGATTCCACAATGCCTGCGCGGGGTGCGCACGCGGCCCCGCGGCCCGCCCCGAGGGGCGGGGTGTAACCACAGAGTTTACATAGGAGGTGCCGGCAGTAGGGAACACCCCTCCGCCCGCGGAGTTTCCTCTGCAGCGTAGCCTGTTGGTCGGGGCCGCGCGCGCGCGCGCGGAGCCGCCGGGGGTTCCCGCCCGCGGACACCTGGGCCCTGGCCGTGCCGCAGCCCCGCCTGCCCGCCGCGCCACCAGCCATGCGGCAGCCGCTCTACCGCTGCTACAACATCACCTCCGTGGAGAAGGGCTACTCGGCGACCATGGGCGGGGTGCTTTTCAGCGCGGGCCTCCTGGGCAACCTGCTGGCGCTGGGGCTGCTGGCTCGCTCGGGGCTGGGGTCTTGCCCGCGGCGCACGCCGCCCTCGGTCTTCTACGTGCTGGTGTGCGGCCTGACGGTCACAGACTTGCTGGGCAAATGCCTCGTGAGCCCCTTCGTGCTGGCCGCCTACGCGCAGAACCGGAGCCTGTGGGGACTGGAGCCCGCGTCGGACAGCTCGCTGTGCCAAACCTTCGCCTTTTTCATGTCTTTCTTTGGGCTCGCCTCCACGCTGCAGCTCCTGGCCATGGCCCTGGAGTGCTGGCTCTCCCTGGGGCACCCCTTCTTCTACCGACGGCACATCACCCTGCGCCGCGGCGCGCTGGTGGCGCCCGTCGTGGGCGCCTTCTGCCTGGCTTTCTGCGCGCTGCCCTTCGCGGGCATCGGGAAGTTCGTGCAGTACTGCCCCGGCACCTGGTGCTTCATCCAGATGGTGCACGAGGAGCGCTCGCCGTCGGTGCTGCGCTACTCAGTGCTCTACGCCAGCCTTATGGCCCTGCTGGTCCTCGCCATCGTGCTGTGCAACCTGAGCGCCATGCGCAACCTCTACGAGATGCACCGGCGGCTGCGGCGGCGCCCGCGCTCCGGCACCAGGGACCGCGCGGAGCCGGGCGCGGGCGAGAAGGAGGCGGCTGTGAAGCCCCTGGAGGAACTGGACCACCTGCTGTTGCTGGCCCTCATGACGGTGCTCTTCACTCTGTGCTCCCTGCCTTTAATAGTGAGTCGCTGCGCGCCGAGGCTGCGGTTGCGGGACCGAAGGGTGGAGCGCGTTGGACGCCGCGCAGGAGGAGTTGCGCCCTGGGCCCCGAGGGTTTGTTGGTGCGCTCCCCAGATCGGGTCCCCTCCACAGCCCCGAGGACACAGAACCGAATTTGTTGAGCCAGAAGAGGCGGAAACAAAGAAAGGAAGGCAAAGACGGAGTCTGAAAGTGTCTCCCTAGCTCCGCAGAACCTCTCCAGTTAGCAGTACCCTCTCCTCTCTCCTTCCCTCTGGGAGGATCTCGGGGCTATTTTAGCACCTCAGCATTTGAGGAGCAGAATTTGGTTCCTCTTTCCAGAGGGCTAGGTAATGTTTTATTTCGTAGACCCGCCCATAATTTTAGTGGCGTCAGAAATGGGCGAATGCACCTGGGAGTTTTTCCCCAGGTGTTGGCGTGGAAAGACTAAGGGAAGGTGTAATCCTGCCAGAACCTGCCAGAGTGATTTGCAGAGATGAGAGACTAAAGATAGATTTAGTTTTTAAAAATTCTCAAGTAATCTTTGAGGAGTGGCAGCCGCTGTTCCCGGTTGGGGGGGGGCGGGGTGCGGGTGGCGATAGAGGCAGAGGGGCTGTTTGGACAGGCAGGTGTGTACTCAAGGTTCAGCCTGTCGTTTGGACAACCTGCCTTGACAGGTTTTGTTTTTATCTTGGCAGGCGAGGTGACGGGAAAGCCATTATCTCCGGTTTCAGTTTACTAATGGGGGTGGTGGTGGCGATAGAAGTACCTGGTAGCTGTGAAGGTGTTTCCTCCTGGGATCCCGGCTAAGACATTTTAGGAGCAACCGAGGTTGAGAGAACTTTTTCAGGGTTGCTCCTCTCCCTTTCCCCCATCCTCAGTGTCCTTGTTCAACATGATATACATTTAAGTAAGTTCATTGCCAACAATGCCTTTGAAGGCTGAGACGTCTGTGAGTAGGTAGCAATGTAGCAATTTTGGATGTTATTTTTAAGATTGGAGGAAGGTGGAATATAATGTAATTTTCCTTAAATGAAGGCCTTAACGTGTGGGAAAAGAGTTGTCTGTGGCATCATCATGCAGGGTTAAGCTCAGAATTCCCCAAAAGAAATAAATACATCTATATAGAAGGAGATCAGGTATAGGCATAGATATGTATGCGGTTCTGAAACATTGGCTGGCTCAAAGTCACCAACAGAGCTTTTAAAATCATAGATGGCAGGGCGCCTGGGTGGCTCAGTCAGTTGAGCCTTGGACTCTTGATTTTGGGTGTCGTGATCTCAGTTTGTGGGTTCAAGCTCCATGTCAGGCCCTGTGCTAACAGTGTGGAACCTGCTTGGGATTCTGTCTCCCTCCCTCTCTCTCTCTCTCTCTCTCTCTCTCTCTGCCCCTCCCCCACTTGCTCTCTCTCTCAAAAATAAACCTAAGGAAAAAAAAAACCCACAGATGCCTGGGCCCTATCCCCCATCGTTTCTAATTCAGATGTTTTTGAAGAATTGTTATTTATTTTTTTACTTACTTATTTTTGAGAGAGGGAATGAGAGAGTGCAGTGGAGGGAGAGAGAGAGAATCCCAAGCAGGCTTCACACTGTCAGTGCAGAGCCCAACGCAGGGCTGTATCCCACAAACCATGAGATCATGACCTGAGCTGAAACCAAGAGGCCCACTTTCAACCGACTGAGCCACCCAGGCTCCTGAAGAATTCTTATTCTTGACAAGTTCCCGGGTGAGGTGAAAGCGGCTGATCCAGGGATATCATCTGGAGAACCATACTCTAAAACAGGAGTTGGCAAATCACAGCCCACAGTCCAAATCCTTCCTGCCCAGTTTTTGCACAGCTGTGGAATTAAGAATAGTTTTTACAAATGAACTGATTTTACAAATCAATTTGATGATAGTATGCAGGAACTCTAAACCCCAATTAACTCAAATACTGTTCCAAGAAAAAAAAGATTTTCATTTTTCTCAATAATAGACATCAGTTACACCAAAAATGTACTTAATTATTATACATTTTTAATTTCATCAGTGAAAATTGTGGAAATGTGTTTTCTTGTTATATAAGTACCTACCAAATACTCACTATTTGCCTCTTGACCTGTAAAATGTAAAATATTTACTGTTGGACCCTTTACAGAGAAAGTTCACAGACTCCTGCTCTAAAGTAATAGCCTTACTTACCTGCGCTGTGAAAAAGCAGACAATAGCCAAATGCATGGATGTTATGTCCTCATTTTGAATGTTTTAGTAACAATAATGTCGAAAAGAACATAATACAGCATAATACACAAGAGCATTGCATTTGGACATGTCTCTCAGGGGAATTGAATAACTTATACGGGATTGTGAGGATGGAAGGAAATAATGGATTTGAAAATGATTTTAGGGATGTCTGGGTGGTTCAGTTGGTGAAGCGTCCAACTCTTGATTTTGGCTCAGGTCGTGATCTCAAGGTCGTGAGATCAAACCCTGTGTTGGGGCTCTGGACTGGGTGTGGAGCTTGCCTAAGATTGATTCTCTCTCTCCCTGGGCTCCTGGGTGGCTTAGTTGGTTAAGCCCATGGCTCTTGATTCCAGTTCAGGTCAGGATTTTAAGGTTTGTGAAATCAAGCCCTGCATTGGGCTCTGCACTGACAGCACAGAGCCTGCTTGGGATTCTTGCTCTCTCCCTCTCCCTCTGCCCATCCCCCTCCCACACCCCACTCATGTGCTTGCATTCTCTCATGCTCTCTCTCACTAAAAAGAAATAAGAAAAGAAAATTATTTTATTTAAAAACTTGTAAAGTTCCAAAGATATTCAATGCAGACAGGTGTTGAGTTTGGTAAGTTCTTTATAGATTTTTGATACTAACCCTTTATCCAATATGTCAGTTGCAGATATCTTCTCCCATTCCGATGGTTGCCTTTTAGTTTTGTTGATTGTTTCCTTTGCTGTGGAGAAGCTTTTTATCTTGATGAGGTCCCACTAGTTCATTTTTGCTTTTATTTCCCTTACCTTTGGAGACATGTCAAGTAAGAAGTTGCTCTAGCCGAGGTCAAAGAAGTTGCTGCCTGTGTTCTCCTCTAGAATTTTGTTGCTTCCTCACATTTAGGTCTTTCATCCATTTTGAATTTATTTTTGTGCATGGTGTAAGAAAGTGGTCTAATTTCATTCTTCTGCATGTTGCCATCCAGTTTTCCAGCACCATTTGTTGAAGAGACTGTCTTTTCCATTGGATATTCTTTCCTGCTCTGTTGAAGATGAGTTGACCATATAGTTGTGGGTCCATTTCTGGGTCTTCTATTCTGTTCCATTGTTCTATGTGTCTGTTTTTGTGTCAGTACCATACTGTCTTGATGACTACAGCTTTGTAATATATCTGGAATCATGATGCCTCCAGTTTTGTTTTTCTTTTTCAGGACTGCTTTGGCTATTTGGGGTCTTTTGTGGTTGCATACAAATTTTAGGATTGTTTGTTCTATCTCTGTGAAAAATGCTGGTAGCATTTTGATAGGGATTTCATTGTATGTGTATATTGCATTGGGTCATATAGACATTTTAATAATGTTTGTTCTTCCAATCCATGAGCATGGAATGCTTTTCCATTTTTTTGTGTCCTCTCCAATTTCTTTCATAAGTGTTCTATAGTTTTCAGGGTATAGATCTTTTGCCTCTTTTGTTAGGTTTATTCCTGGGTATTTTATTGTTTTGGTTGAGAATTTTTGCATCCATGTTCATTGGGGAGATTGGCCTGTAATTCTCCTTTTTAGTGGGGCCTTTGTCTGGTTTTAGAATCAAGGTAATGCTGGCCCAATAGAATAAGTTTGGAAGTTTTACTGCTATTTCTGTTTTTTGGAACAGTTTAAGAAGAATAGATGTTAACCCTTCTTTAAATGTTGGATAGAATTCCCCTGGGAAGCCATTTGGCCCCGGACTCTTGTTTGTAGGGAGATTTTTGAATACTGATTCAGTTTCTTTGCCGGTTATGGGTCTGTTCAAATTTTCTCTTTCTTTGTGTTTCAGTTTTGGTAGTTTGTGAGTTTCTAGGAATTTGTCCATTTCTTCCAGATTGCCCAGTTTGTTGTCATAGAATTCTCTTACGCTTGTTTGTATATCTTGGTTTTGGTTGTGATCTCTCCTCTTTCATTCATGATTTTATCTATTTGGGTCCTTTCTCTTTTCTTTCTGATAAGTCTGGCTAGGGATTTATCAATTTTGTTAATTCTTTCAAAGAACCTTCTCTTAGTTTCACTGATCTGTTCTACTGGTTTTCGTTGTTGTTTGTTTCTATATTGTTTCTGCTCTAATCTTTGTTATTTCCCTTCTTCTGCTGGCTTTAGGCTTTATTTGCTGTTCCTTTTCTATCTCCTTTACGTGTAAGGTTAGGTTGTTTATTTGGGGACTTTCTTGCTTCTTGAGATAGCCCTGAATTGCAATGTACTTTCCTCTTAGAATTGCCTTGCTGAATCCCAAAGGGTTTGGAGTGTCGTGTTTTCATTTTCATTTACTTCCATGTATTTTTAATTTCTTCCTTTATTTCCTGGTTGACTCATTCATTCTTTAGTAGGGTGTTCTTTAACCTCCAGGTATTTGAGGACTTTCCAAATTTTTTCTTGTGGTTGACTTCAAGTTTCATAGCGTTGTGATCTGAAAATATACATGGCATGATCTCAATCTCTTTTTACTTATTGAAGGCTTATTTGTGACCCAGTATGTGATCTAGCTGGAGAATGTTCCATGTGCACTCAAGAAGAATGTGTATTCTGCTTTAGGATGAAATGTTCTGAGTATATCTGTTAAGTCCATTCGTGTCATTCAAAGCCATCGTTTCCTTGTTGATTTTCTGCTTAGATGATGTGTCTATTGTTGTAAGTGGGGTGTTAAGGTCCCCTACTATTATTGTATGATTATCAATGATTTTCTTTGCGTTTGTTATTAATTGGTTTATGTATTTGAGTACTCTCAAGTTGGGGGCATACGTATTTACAATTGTTTGATTTTGATGGATAGATCCCTTAATTATT